TAACATATTAAAGGAGGAGGAAGAGGAAAAGGAAGAGGAATGGAGAGAACATGAGAAAAGCAAGAAGGAAAGTAGAAGAAATGATGATGAAATGGAAATGGAAAAGGAAAAGGAAGGAAACATAGAGAAGAGGAAAGGGAAGATTAAGATGAGAAAGTAAAATATATGAGTGGAGTAAAGAAAGAGAGGAGAAAAAAGAAAGTGAATTTAGATAAGGGATGAGAAAAATGAAAGAGAAGAAAGAAGAAGATGGGAGAAAATGGGAGAAAATGCTACAGAAAGGAAGTTTGAAGGTTTATATAGATAAATATTATTTTTCACGACTTAACATTGGAAAATAATGTGGGTAGGATTTTGAAAATTTTACAAGGAAAAAATAACACTTGATGTTGGACTCCAAACTTTAGAGAAAATTATTTTCCAGTGCCAGGCACTGGAAAATAATATAGGTGAGATTTTAATTTTTTTTTTTAAAAAAAAGATAGTTGAATATTTGGATCCTAAACTTTTGAATAAACTTATTTTCCAGCATCAAGTGCTAGAAAATAACTTGACTCAATTAGACAAGAGTATTTTCTAGTGCTAGAGTATTTTCCAGCACCAAGCAATAAAAAATAACTTGAAGCAATTCAACATCAATATTTTCCAATGCCAAGCACTAGAAAATAGCTTGAACTAATTGTACATGAGTATTTTCCACCAATTGGACTACAGTATTTTTCAGTACCAAGCACTAGAAAATAACATATATAACTTGAGTAGAATTATTTTCCAGCGCTTAGCACTAGAAAATAACTTGCACCCCATTTTTACTCTTTAATTTTGATGGTTTTAAACATTTTTTAGATTTTCCAACATTGGGTACTAGAAAATAAGAAGATGCCAAACCAAGTTATGGCACTAAATTATTTTCCAACGCTAATGAGTCTCACTTCAAAATTATTTATAAATTTTAGATATTTTATACCAAACTCTAATTTCCAACACTTAGTGTTGGAAATTAGTATATTATTTTCTAGAACAATCATTGGTTGAAAGAAGCCAAATTTCTAGCTGTGGAGAAAACTCTTGGTGAGTGAAGGTAAGATAGAGAATTAAACACCAAATGGTTGAGCCAAATCTTTATAAAATAAATTGTGAAATATGAAGTATAATGAGGTAAAAAAAAATCGAAAGGAAAAAAGATAGTGTCAAAAAAAAAAAAAAAGAAATATATTTTGATAGAAAAAAGGTGTTTTACAAGAAGGATTGTACATAAAAAATGCAATCTATTTTATAAATTTAGTAAAATGCACTTAATAAAACTATTTCTTATGTTGTTTCATTGAGGATATTTTAATAAATTCATAAGACAGACAGTACTTTTAATGTATAATCCGTCTTATAAAACATGAATCCCTTTTGATAGATTAAGATTTAAAGGAATGTCTAAGAAATAATAGTAGAGACAAGAGGATAATAGAAGAAAGAATAAATTCAATAAATTACATATATAATGAGAGAAAAAGGAAAGAAATGATGTAGGTTTTTTTTTTTTTTTTTTTTGTACTAAACTCTCAGTATCTAGAAGCTACATTGGGTCCTAACTAATCCATAGTTGAGTCAAGTTAGACCCTATAAAGAGGAAAACTCTCCCAATGCCTGTCTCTTAATTCACAAGGTTCAAATTCGAGACTTTATTTAAAAGGAACTAAACTCCTTACAATTAAACCAACAGGTTGTTAGTGATGCAGGCTCTCTTTATTATCATATATTGATTAAAATTTTATAACATTGTGGATATGTGTATAAATTTATTGAATATGCTATTGAATTATTTGTAATTTTAAGGTATTTATATGCTATTGTAATATTGAAAACAAAAAATATTTAATGATAGATAGAGAAAATTTGTGTAAAAAATATATATAATGATAGATGAAGATGTAAAAAACACTTCCTTTACTTATTTTCCTCTCTAGTCCTTGCTGGACTAGGAGTGCGCCATGCACTCCCTTAGCGCATGGTGCCGCACAAGCCCTAGTCCACATGGACTAGGGTTTTGATCACGTAGCCCTAATGGGCTACATTGGCCCACCTTGAATTTTTTCGGTTCTACACTTGAACCAATCCAATCTTGAACCAACTTGGATTAAATAAATTTAATTTATTTTACTAATTTAATTTTAGAACTTAATTAATTAATTTTTCTTGTGAAAATAATAATTTCACATAAATTACTCTATTTTCATAAACTTGGATTTATAGAAATCCCAATACCATAAAGCACAAAAAATGTGTGATACATTAAGTTTCTATCACGATAGCAGCATGCAATGGTTATAGACTACGGGCAATATTTAGCAACACATCATGCCCACCCAAAGTGATAGAACTGTCAATAGCTTTGACTAACACTCCTATGACCAATCCATGTGTAATTCAATTCTTCCATCACTAATATCTCTATCTAGTAAGATGCATTCTATGTATTATCATCCTTAAAGCTTGATTTATTTTCTTGATTCCCAAGACAAAGTAACTCGATGAATGAACTCTTTCATTCCTACTAGCCACAAAATTTAAGTAGTCTCATCTCAATCAGAGGGTCTAGATTTACTCAAGAGGGATGAATTCTATCTTGACTAGTTCATTATTCTCATATGATTTGTGATGCACCTAATAACTATATTACTTGCAACCCCTCGCAATGGTCGGTTTTTAACAACATCAAAGTACACAAGTCCTCACATAAAATGATAACAAACTCAAGTCAAAGATTCACTCACACTCACATCATAGGTGGGATGCTCCTAATGGCATGTGCATGTAGTGTGCTCATGTCGAGTTCAAGTCAATGCACTTACTTTCTTTGAGTTAGTCACATGTGATACATGACTTTGTCAGAAGAAGTCTTGTCACCTAGCAAAATATCACAAATAATAGTCTTGACATCATTAATGTCCCATCTCAATGACATGTACAACTAATTAATTGATAAATTTAAAATGTTACTATCACATCATATAGTTCTCATAAATAGTGATGGCTGTTGTTATCTTTTGATGTAGCAATTAACATTCTAAAAATTTTATTGATATTTAACATACTCAAAAGAATAGCAGTTACTTTTTAATAAATCATGTTGTAAATATTGATAAAATCATAAGTACAAAAAATTGCCTTGTTAACCTAGTTGGCTCATAGGGCATACTCTAACAAAAGCTAAGAGATGACCTTGTAAGAAAAATTAATGAAAGGTTGAGTATAGGTAAATGAAAAGGTACCAAGAAAATAATGTTAATGAGCTACATCTTTTAGGCTTTGAGTTAAAACCTTCTAATATATATAGGTATTAGGAAGAGATGATATAAATTGGGGTTAAAAAAAAGGGAGAGATATAATAGCAATATAGTTATAAATGCAGAGATAAATTAAATAATAAAGATTTGATGAACTATTCTAACATGTTTATTTTAAAAAATTTTAATTGATATAGAAGTTAGATATTTATTTATAAATAAATTAATGTGTTTGAAATGACTTTTATTTTCATTATGCAAAATTAATTTTAATTATGAATTAATATTATTGCATTTAGTATTTACTAAAAAGTATAGTATCACTCCTTCTTCCTAAAATAATAAATATTTTTAATTTAAAATTTATTCTAAAATAATAGTTGTATTTTCCTATTTCAATGGAGAAAAATATTTTTTTTATTTTAACCTTATAATTATCTCATCAACTTTAATTATTGATCTTTTGATTAAAATAATTTTCTTAAGTTTTTAAAGGTAAAATAGGTAAATATAAAAATTATTTTTAAATTCTTAATGTGAAGATAAAATAAAAAAAAAATCTATTATTTTGATATAAAGGAGTACAAAAGAAGCATTATTTCATTACAATTAGTGAAAAAATGTATAATTAATCCATTCCAAGGCATGGGTTGAAAAATTCTTCTATAAATCCAAAGTGAGATAACGGAATAAGAACATGGGAATAACTTCTTCTTCTCTTTCTTTTTTTTGGTAAAATAGAGAATTAAATTACTGAACATATAGAAACATTAGCAAGTTTTGCGGAACTCAATCTCCATAATCTCAACAATACAACAGACCTTAAGCGAAGGAGGAAAACAATGAAAAATAACAAAATCCTCGGAGAGATTTTGTCCTAATTTGGCCATTTGATCAGCTGCCAATGTTTGATTCCCGAACGACATAAGTAATTTCAGCATAGGGAATTTGTTGGAGGAGGTCCCTGCAATCCAGAAAAAAAGAACTAATAAAGGGTGAGAAGCAGAGGGAACCTTCCCCAAGAGCTGAGCAGCAATAAAAGAGTCAGTCTGAATAATTAAACTACATGGTACCCGTGCCCTGGCATGAGGAGATAAAATGAAATAACTTATATTTTTTATTTTTATGAACATTATTTTTTGTATAAAATATTATTCACTTTTCAAAACTAATTATAAATCAAAAGCAAATGTTAAATGTAACTCTGTAATTTTCTAATATATATCAATGTTCTCTAGTAAATAATTATGAAAAAGCTTTTCATTTATATTATATTACTAGAAAACATAGTATAACTAACAAAAATATAATCAATTGCTAAAATGTTGTCAACTATAATATATAATCAACAAAAGCACTATTGATTACGTACGTGAATCAATTATGTAGATTTTTTGAATACATAATCAATAGTGTTTTTATCAATTATGTATATATATAAGTGATTGTATTTTGGTAGTCGATTATGCATAGTAATTATTTTCTTGCCTTAATTTTTAGAGTATCATTTACACTTTCATATGAAAAGAGTATCTATAATATCAAAAATAAAGAAAAGAAACAACTTAATTGGACATTTAAAATAGAAATGAGGAATACTAATGTCATAAAAAGAAGAAAGTTAGTACTTATTCTTCTTCTTATTTTATTTATTTATTTATTTATTTATTTTTTGAGAAAAAATGATGAAATTATATTAGTATAATAAAAGAGAGTACATTAGGGTGATTTAAGAAAGCAAACCCTTAGTACATAAGTAAGGTAAAATGTAATCATAAAGATTGACAAATATAAAAAACAGCCAAAATTAAAGAAAGTGATGTTCCTGTCTTGACAAGTTGGTCAGCACACATATGGCGATATCTAACTGCATGTTGCAACTAAGCTACAACAAAATGCCCTATAAGTTCTTTACAATTCAAAATCAAAGTACTTGATGGATGAGAGTTAGAGACCTTGGTAGGCAATAATTGAATAGCATGAAAAGAGATCAGACTCAATGTTAATTTCAGAAAATCCCTTGGCAACAACAAATTTTGAGGTTATCTTGTAGGCAAAAACCCTTCTTAAGCTACCTTACACTTGCCCTAAATTAGCATTTAAGCCCTTAAACTAAAAACAATACAATGAAGCCCTCTAAGTACTCTTTGACTGGTGCAAATAAGTCCTTATCATTAACGGCCTAAACGGCTATGATCTGACATGCACTAACTTCATTTATTCTTTCCCTTCTACTATTCCACATAGATGCAGATGAATTTTTTTTATTATGCTTGTTTTGGTAATTTTCTATTATGTTTTTTAACAAAATTTAGAGTTTAATATGACATTTAGTAGATTTTTGTTATGTATCTTAGAAATGCCATGAATTATGAACTCTAGGTTCCCTGTCTTCTTTTGTAATGTATATGAATCATGAACAATATATGTGGTATCTTTAACTTTTGTCAATGAAAAGGAAATATGTAATTATTTTACAATTGAACTCCAAGTTGTGGTCTATTTTAAAAAAATTCTATTAGAAAAGTTGTAAGATTAAGTTAAAAATAAAAGCTTTTAAAATTGAGAACTATTTGTAGTGTCAACAGTGTAATATAGGTGTCAATACTTCTACTTCGAGTTTCACCAAGCATACAATCGGTGGGCTTATTTGCACCAGTTGAGGAGTTGAAGAGCTTATTTCCACAATTTTTAGTTTAAGGGTTTAAATGCTAATTTGGAGCAAGTGTAGCAGCTTAAGAAGGTTTTTGCTTATCCTATATGGTCTAAACTCTGCTCAACATAGTTGTGCAGCTTGAGCTAAAGTATGCATTTAGCCTTCACTTTAATATTTGAAATTTTTAATCCCTCACCTTACACTATAAAATTTTTAGTCCTTGAACTTGAAAGTTTGAAGATTTTAGCCTCTAAACTAACATAATCCATTAACTCTTGGTTAAAGTGAGAATAAAATATTTATAGCATCAGTCCTCAAAGATTAAAAATACAATACTTTAATTCCAAAAGTTTAAAAATTTTAAAAATTAGTAAACTAAAAAAAATTAACAGATGACTTTTTCACATACGCTAGAACAATGTTAGATATCTATAATAAATCAAGCAATTATCTTAATTTGAAGAAGAAAATTAGATTGAGATTAAAGAAAATTTCTTAGTTATATTCCTTTAGTCTCTTAGACTTTCTGTCTTAACTCAACTAATTTTTCTTTTTTTAATTTCAATCAAAATTTTTTCTTCAAATTGAGCTAATCTCTCTATTTATTATAAATATCTAATACTGTTCTAATGTATCTAAAAAAGTTATCTATTAATTCTTTTCAGTTTACTAATTTTTTTAATTCTTAAACTTTTGGAACTAAATTATAACTTTTTTAAACTTTGAGGATTGATATTATAAATATTTTATTCTCACTTTAACACAGAGTTAATAGATTTTGTTAATTTAGGGGTTAAAATCTTTAAATCTGTAAGTTTAAAAGTTAAAAATTTCATAGGACAAGGTAAGGGGCTTAAAACTTTAAATTTAATAAGGTAAGAGGTTAGACATATATTTTAGTCTACTGCTTGTGCCTATATTCTTGGCACACCCATAATCTAATTGTCATTATGATATTTGAAAATCTCTTCCCTACCAATTGGTTTGAGAAATGTAGTCCCACAATATTAATGTTTAACAAAATATGAAGGAGGTTTATTTTAGTAAAACATGTTAAGTTACTTATTAGATAAATCAGATTGAATAAGAAAAACTAACTAAAATTTAACAATTTTATAAATAATAAGAGACAATCATGTAGAATCTTGAAAATAATTAAAAATATACAAGAATAAATCCAAAATATTAAAACTCCACCCCCTTAAGTTTGAAATTTATGACCATTAGGCTCTGCAGAAGATAGTTTCTCCCACATAAATCCTTAACTTAAATTCTAAGGTCTTAGAAAAATTTGTGATATTACAATATTATAAATATATATATAAATACATACCTTATTTAATGCATAGGGTAGCATTTTATATATATAGATAGATAGATAGATAAATAAATTTATAACCACCATATTATTAATTTTTTATTACTTTCTTTACATTAAGTGGTAAAGCAATTATAACAATAGTTATAACTTATAATTTTATTGTTGAAAATAAACATAAAATCCAACATAAATAATAATTTGATTCATAATGATATAACTTCAGATGAAAGAAAATGAAT